AAATGGAGCACTTAACAATGAGGGGGAAATATATTTTCCGTAAGGGTCTTAACTCTGACAAGGTTTTAAGAGGTCGCCTAAGAAGCACCCGTGTTCACGCAAAAGGAGAATTAACCCTCGAGAAGCTAGAAAAAAAAAAAACAATTATATGGTTGATCGGAAAATTATCAATCAAGAAAATCTTTGTTTGAGCTCATCCGTCCCGTCACAGAAGGTAGTAGCGCAGAGAAAAGGAGCCTGTAGTCATAGCAAAGATTGATTTTCCGAGTTCATAATTATAGTTGAGCATTGAATTGAGGCCAAAAATAAGAAAAATCAATTTTTCATAGCCAGTAAACATTTACAAGTAAATTAATTAAGAGAGTGTGTATATCATGTGCACAAGATGCAAACTCATGGCACTCGAAAGCAGGCATGGGGAAATGAGATCAGGGTGCAGAAACTTTAGAACTGGCACGAGCACATAATACACATAAAAATCAAATTAATAACGAGTCACCAGATAGTGATTCTTAGGTAAATTCCAAACAAAGATGATAATTTTAAGTGTATGCCTTTAAAAATTTAAAAATGTTCACATTAATTTTGATCAACACCTAGAGCCCTCCATGTTTTTAGATTGTTGTATAACAATAAGTGCTACGAATTCTTTCATTGGTATCTGAGCCCATAAGATTGATTTTCTTGCAGTATTTCATGTCTAAGTATGCCTCTACGGCTCTACATGGTTCAATTGTATTGTGAATCTTGTATGTACAAGTATGCAACCATATTTAATATTAATGGCATCTTTAGATATAGTATCTAAAATTAAGTGAGTGGAAAAACATAAATATTTTTTAAGTATTGATAAATTAATTATATTATTACATTATGTACAATTATGTGAAATTATGTCCAATTCTACTTATCTTCACATACCATGCTCGGCTTGTGCCCACACGAGCGAAGGGGTCAAGCAAGCGTTATTTGTAGACACTATTGGAATGCAAAATAAGAATTATACAAAAATTTAAAAAATTCTTTAATTCATCAATACAAGATCATCTAAGCATTAACGTGTATGTTACATCAAGAATATATCAATTTTTTTTTACCTAAATTCAATAATTAATTCTTGAGTGGATCTGAATTACAAATTTTCAACTTTTAATTCCAAAAACGTGATAATCCAAACTTTCAAATCTTCTATAATATTCTCCAAATTCAAGACTATACGAATAGGACATCTTCTTTTAATTAAATCAAGAAACTAATTTGAGAATTTCGAGATGGACAAATGAAGAAAAGAAGAAAATATTTTATTCTTTTTTCTTTCTAAATTTGAACATCATGGGAAAATATTATGTCGTGTTTGTACAGGATTTCTTGATTGTCTGATCTATATTTATAGAGAATAATTAAATGAATTCGGGTGACACCATCATGAAATAAAAGAGTCTATTTACTAACTTCACATCAACTTATATGCGCATTGTAGCAAATGAAGTAAAATAGTAGAAGTTATAAGATATATTTCAGCAACAATCTGTCGCCAGATATTTACAAGAATATCTATCCTCCAAATAACATATTCTATTATCCAATAACACCAAATCTGAAAAAAGAAAGAAAGAAAAATAAATAAAGAAAATACCCTCACCCTAACAATATCACAAGGAAAATGGCTTTGCATACACGTCGAAAGGTTGGCAGGCAGTCAGCTGCGGTTCCTGTTAGTGAGAATGATCATTAGAAACTCTCATTTTTTCGAATTTAATAATGTTACGTAGCTCCCTTGAGATTACAACCTCAATCTAGGTGACGCTAAATAATGGGCAGAATGAAATGTGAAATTAAATGATTCATTTAATTCTACCAATCATGTAATGTCACCTAAACTAAGTTGTAATCCAAGTGGAGTTATAAAGAATTACTCTTTCAAATTTCATGTACAAAAGGACATAGAAATCTTTCTTTAGATGCAAGGAAAATCAGCAATAAAGGTGCTAAACGTAATATACATGCAATTAAAACAAAATCGATATATATTTCATGATTACTACATAGGTAAACTCAGTAATAAGAAATGGGTAAAATATATCAGGGAAAGTCAGATGAATACCATTAGGCCACGTTCGGCACACTAGATTAAGCTGTATAATAAATTTAGTATAAAATTATAATGAATTATTAGATAGATAGTATTATAGTATATTAAGGTGGATAGTATCCATCTATTTTTTATTCAAAAAAATTTTGTTTATGTTACACAGTCGATAGAGCAAATGACTATCTTTTGGATGAAAATTAAGAGAACGCTATCCATATTAATCCATCATGTTACCATCGATCTATTATTATTCATTATATTTTATACTAAATTTCTCATACGGCCTAATCCGGTATACAAAACATAGTCTTGGTTTTGATAAAAAAGAAAGCAAAAAAAAAAAAAAAAAAAAACAAAATAGGA